TACGCCTTCTTTCTTTGCGTGAACATTTGGGCGGCGTTATGCAAATCTTCCCACATCGTGACGTAGATATGTGGGGGCGTGTTAGAATGAGCCGTTTTAGGTAGGCGTGGTTGACTCTTAACTTTTATAAAGAGTATCTCTTTGGATTTGAGACTTTAGTCTTTGCAACCTTACAGATCTTCTTTATGCACCAAGAGCTTGTAACACTCCACAGAGAAAGGAAAATTGAAATCGCATCATATGACCCCTTTAAGTGAAGAGACATAACATAGAATGTGATGAGAAATAAGAAATGGCACGGTTTAACCACTAAATAAGAACTTCTGTATACATGTCTATAGATGCAACAGAAGCACTAAAACCTGAAAGGCTACGTTTATGGGATTACCCAGAGAATCAGCTGCAGTGACAGCTCAGATGGCTCCACTTGGGCTGTTAATGGGGTTTAACCCCAGCAAACTCCATGACCTGGCAGTCCTCTGCAGGGTGCAGAGAGTTATTAACAGCTGATGTCCAGCAGTAAGAGCCTGAGGGCTGACCGGTCACATTCTGAAGCAATGCAGAATGCTACTAACCAGTGCTACATCTCAAGGGCCCAAAAAATGGGTGGTGAAATCAGATTTTTTAATGCATATTCTATGAAACCAACACATAACCAAAAGCACCATTTTAAAGCACAATATTAAAAGAGAACTTTATTATCATTAATTTTTAAATGGGTTCATATATGCAAAGGGGAATCTCATTTAAATTAAATAGTGTAAACGCCACCATTTATTTTACATTTAAACTCAGAATTTCCCTCCAGCCAAAAGTACAAAAAAATAAAATATATATAAGTGACTGTATTGTGTGTGTCACGTAACAAATAGGTATTGTTATACCTATCTTGCATCTATCTTACCAGTTTCGTTGTGAAGCTGGTCTGGAAGTCCTCATTCAGATAGATATCCTGCTTTTTGTGCTTGTGTTGGCAGAGGAGGTCAGAGGTCATCCGAGGGTCAAACTTTCTAAAGTGACATCAAGCAAGAGACTAATCAAGACAAGTTCAGTTTTCTGGAAAAAAAAAAGTGACTGTGAAACTTAAGTTCCTCAGAAATGCAAATTACATTAAATATGACACAGAAAAATGCAAAACATGAAAACAAGTAAATGCTGTACACGTGCAGTGGCTCGGTGTGCTTTGTGTGCTGTGTCAACATGAACATACACACGTTGTGATTATAGTAAGAGGCTCATGCATGAAAACGGGAGGCTTTAGGTCTATAAAACGTTATCTAGTGTTTACATACCCTCCTTACACCAGAAAATATTACTCCATATTATACTATTTAATTTCTAATAATACCTTAATATTAAAAAAAAATTTAACAATCACTTTAAATAGTATCTATTGGTCCTTCTAACACCCTATTTACACCTGGTTTTACACTTGGGTCCGTATGAGGGGATGCAAAAGTGGACAAAGGTAACAAAGCCCAAAACGTTTTGTGATCATAAATATGTCTATTTCAAGCCCTTCCAAAAAAATACAATCTATTGGTGGTTACTTATCTACTATAATATAATGAAATACTGTATTTTTTTTATTTTTTATTAATTTAGTCAGAGTAAACGACTTCTGAACTGTGTTAATGGGAAGACATGCTTTTTTGCCATTAATGCTGCATTTAAGCGGTGTTCAATCCTGCTCCAGGAGGGCCAATATCCTGCAGAGTAGTTCCAACCCGCTCCACCACTAGCCTGGATGTTTCTAGTGAGTCTGAAGACCTCGATTCCTTTGGTTCATGTGGAATTAATTAGTGTTGGAGCTTAACTCTTCAGGACAGTGAACAGGTTTGTACTGCATACCAATAATAACCAGCCAATCTCTGAACCCCTGGAAACACTTTGATTCTGTGATGATTTTGGTACAAAACCATTATGCTCCTCTGAAATCAGACTCGTACCTGGTCAACCAAGGAGACGCATTGAGACTCATGTTACAGGTGTACACAGCTGACTGCTTGTGACTGGATCACAGCAGACTGATCTCAGTACTAGATGTAAACGACACTCATTGTGCTCTCACGTTTCTGTGTTGCGGCGTCCATTAATTGTTTAGTAAACTACTGCCCTCTAGTGTAAGAAAGTAACCACCAATAAGTAAAACACCAATAATATTCAATAACTGGATTTGGAACACTATAGTTTGTACAAGCTTCTCCCGTGAGTCGTCGTCGTCTGTCTGGTTTCATTATCGATATGATAAGTGCCGAATCCAGCATTTATTTATTATTTATTTATCCCTGTTGAAAAAAAACAGCATATGCTGGTTAGGTATGTTTTGACTCTGGGATGCTGGTTTAAGCTGGTTTGTGCTGGTTCTTTGCTGGTTTAAGCTGGTCCTTTGGCTGGTTTGTGCTGGTCCTTTGCCAGCACATGACCAGCTTAAACCAGCAAAGGACCAGCACAAACCAGCATAAACCAGCAAAAGGACCAGCATAAACCAGCAAAGGACCAGCATCCCAGCGTCAAAACATACCTAACCAGCGTATGCTGGTTTTTTCAACAGGGATGCTTGCCTTCAGAAAATCAAGTTCACAGACTTTGTTGTTGTTCGCTTTTTGCAGAGAACGTTTGTAGGCTATAGCCTGTTTCGGCATATGAAGCGAGCAGCTTATATAATAAAAATGAAATTGAAATCACACATTCGAAAACGTAAAAATAGCCGGTGAATTAACGTTTAAATTTATATTTTTATTATTCTTTGGTAGTGTACCACTTGAGAACATACTGACTTAAATTTGACCGTTGAGTAACATATGTAGTTTTTTTTTTTTTTTTTGTACAATTTTGCAAACATGACCTTCTGATTGGCTACATACATACTGAAATGGCTGTTGGCAAGGTTTCTTTATGTTACTTTATGTCTGACTTGACCCATACACAAAGTTACAGCATGACAGAACATCAAAAACCTAACAGATAAGCAACAAAGTAACTAATAACATTAATTTCACATCTCACTGATGAACAAAATATAGTACAGAAGGGATGTAGAAGAAAAAGAGTATAACCAGCTTGGTTACTCCAAATCCCATTTGAGTGGTTACAGAGGTGAAAAATCTAGATGGGTAAACTGGTAAAGGTAGCAGGTTCAAATGAGGGTGACCATACCATGAACTGTTACATTGCTATTTGAGCAAGACACTTATTTATAACCTCATACATATGTCATTGCAGGTTTATTTTTTCTCCTGTGGGATTCAGTCTTTGTGAAGATGGACAGCATGAATTTTGCATACTCTTTAGGATTGAAAGTAGCGGGTACAATGAGATACTCTCCTGGTTCAAGCTTGAAGAATTTCATCACATGTCTTGTATCGATGAAGTTCCCACTATCTTCCACAGAACGTCTGTGGTAGAAGAACTTGGCAGGAAACTTTTCATATTTCATCTAAAGAATTAAATATTATAAATATCAAGTAATTTATTTACTTACAAAGCAAAACAGATGTGGTTATAGAGTTTAATACTATTGAGCTTGAATTGTATTTTACTTGCCTCTGGTGGTATCTGTTAAAGTAGAAAAACATGGAATACGCACCATTAATAAGTGGAAACCAAAATGACTGTATTCAGTGAGATTTTCTGTGAGTCCAGTGGAGTTATTGTTAATACTGACCAGATAAACACTGAAGCCGGTGGAGTAATTAGAAACAAGACTTCTGTATCTGTTCTCATGGATCTGCATGAGGGACACCAGTATGTTTTCAGGACACTGGCCACTAGCACATTCCTCATCGAGCTCCTCAATCCTCACCCGAAACTGAGGGTTTGTCCAGAAAGAGTCTACAAGACATCCATTGAATCAGACCTTTGTGGTACATAGAGTATACATATATACAGGATGCACACACACACACACACCATATGGCCAAACGTATGTAGACACCCAAAAGCACAGTCAAATGTTTGCTTGTTCAACATTTAAATCAAACACCATGGACCATTAATTTCATGCTGCATATGCATGCTGTATCTAATATTTGTATTAATGTATGTGTTATATGCAATTGTATGAAATTATCACTTGCCTCTCTCTCTCTCTCTATTCATACAGTATATGAGCTACCTTTATTATTGATGCAGCCACCAGCTGTAGTCCCAGATTCCCAACTGCCATTGTAGCATGTTGTTGTCCAGCTGCATTTAGAAGAGCTGTCCAGAAAATCAGGACTGAGGCAGCAAATATCAATTTCTTCAAGGTTTTTAGTGAAGTCCTCCATTGACATCCTGCAGTAAAATATGTGTTATTTGATTCATGTTTCATGCAGCAAGAGGTCACATCTGAAACTACAGTTAATGCCATACCAGAACTCTCCATCATTGGCCAAAGAACGACACTTGGTTCGCTCCTTTTCACTCACTTTGTTCCACAGCGATGACCTGAAAGTCGTGCAAAAGCATTAAAATTGTACATGGGGTTGTGCTAAATGAACAAATAGTAAATAAGTAATAATGAGTAAATAATAGCAAATAAAGAGAATTTATTTTAATGGTAGTATTTTTTCTAAAAGGTTATAGCTGGATTTTCAATGGCACAGAAATAAACAGCATGCAAAATTAAGTTAGCAATTGTATCTGCACCCTGTTTGCGCAGACATGATACGTCATCAGCGCATTTCATTACGCTATTGCAGACAGAGCGAGGATGGAAGGCATTATTACTGTAATATTATGCGCTTTGTACTGGAATGTTTTCTCACCAGTGAATGAGACATGAGGTAATCTGACAGCACTGCATTCAACCCTCAACCAACGCCATCTCTCATTGTGTCACTGGTTAGCCTCTGGTCTGCTTGTGCGCATTCATGTGTTTTGGAGGAGGCGTGGCTTTGGAGAGTGATTTGCAGGGGGGCATAGGATCTTATGCTTTTGCTAGCTGGTCTGAAATCGCCTACCCTACCCTAACCCCCTCAGAAAGAGAAAGAATGGAATAGAGGAGGAGATGGGGAGGTGGAGGGATGCTGGAAGAATTGTCGCTGGGACGGCTCAGTTACTGCTGCTTATGTACGCTTGAAACGATGATTGACAGGACTGAATGATTAGGCTCCTCCTGAAACTATGTTTGGAGCTTCGTTTAAACCAGGGCTGTCCAAACTCGGTCCTGGAGGGCCGGTGTCCTGCAGAGTTTAGCTCCAACTTGCCTCAACACACCTGACTGGAAGTTTATATGCCTAGTAAGAGCTTGATTAGCTGGTTCAGGTGTGTTTAATTAGGGTTGGAGCTAAACTCTGCAGGACACTGGCCCTCCAAGACAGAGTTTGGACAGCCCTGATTTAAACCATCTTATCTTAAATTATCATATAGGATTTTGTCATTTTAACAAGCTGGAATATTTTAAAGCAACCACAGCGCAAAAACTCTTTTGCTAATCGATGTTTGTGCTTTCGTGCTTTTTTTCCCCACCAAAAAAGTGTCATTACTGAACTAGCTTTTGTGTGATAAAGGGAAAGTCTATTACAAAAGAATGACTCAAGGCAACCTGCCACAAAAGATGACAAAAAGTTAATTCGTTCATAACATAATTTAATTAATGAGGGTTGGCAAATTCCAACGATATGAATGACAGTGATCGTTGGTGATGTAACTTGGTGACGTTGGTTTTTCTTGGTTGGTTGGTTGTAACAACAAATTTCAGGTCTTACAAGAAAAAAAAAAAAAAAGATTGAATTTGGTTTAAATAAATAAATAAAAAGGAACACCTGGAATATTTTGTAATACATTTTGAATGGTAACATGCCAAAAATGGCAGCATCCACACAAAACCCAAGTAGTGGAATTATTTACAATTTTATAAAATTGTGATATTGTGAAGAAAGAGCCATAGAAAATGAAATTAATATGAAATTCGGATTTGTATACTTCTTATTTGATCCTATATAATTCATATATGACAGGGACATGAAGATGTACTGTATAGCAGTTACAATCCATCATAGTAAGCTATATTTATTTTTAAAGATCTACTGTTTGTAGCCTAACCAGCTAACTTTGTTTAAGTTGTTTAGCATACTAAAAACCTAATACAACTCCCAAACCTCTGATTCATATAATCATTAATTATCCAGTGTTACAAACAATGTCACTTGATCAATGTTGTGATTAGTGAGTCTAGTTTCATGTGAGTCTTACTTGTCACTCCAGGCACCGTTCCACTCGCCCATTCCCCACGGATTCAGCACTCTCACCAGCCTCACCGGTTTTCCTTGGCATGTTACCTGTTACACAGTGACATGGCATTTTAATTCAAAATGCTTATGAACTCTTTAAACCCTTTAAACCCCCTTATTCTGTGGGATGTCACCTAAACTCAGAATATGCCATATAGGTATTTCACGAGGATCATTATGAAATAACCTTTTACCGCAGGACTGAACTGCCTGCACACAATGCTTTGAGTTAAATCAAGGACAACAAATTATTTCAAGAAACTACTCTTGCAAAATCACAGACCTGACGTAAGAGATACACATGAATGAGTACAAAAAGGACATACCAAAGGGTGGAGCTCATCTGTAGCTGAAGGCAATCAATAAATAAACACTGGTCTACACAATTACAACTATGATTAAAAGAAGAACAAAGCGAGTCTGTTGCTAAACACCTTTTTTATATTATAAGCCTGTCAATATGGAACGATTATACTTATTATAGAACAAGAGTATTACCACTCAAAGTCAACCTCTTGCTTAATGAAAACAGGTTCCAGAACAGAGCCTTGAGGGCACTACTTGGGAATGCATTAAAAAGTTAATGTTTTAAAACAACATTTTTAAGTTATCAATTAAAATAGTGGTGTTTCTTTGGTGAACAAACTCAGAAAAGACTGCCGTTGCAAGACAACTAGATTTGATTTTTTTTTAAGGGATTCAAGTCATGGAATTGTCAAAGGAATCTATCTAGCTAGAAACTGACATTTAAATTTTTACACATTTTACCTTAAACACATTTTTGAAAGACATTTTGTGAAAACAAAATATGTGTCTCAAAAAGCTAGAATTGTGTATACAAAATTATATCACATTAATAAAATAAAGCAAAG